TGCAGAGAGCAGATAACTTCAAAGCAGGGGTGGGAATTAGTTCCCATTTGGTGCCAGTAAATCTCTTCCCCATGGTGTGGCTGCGTGTAAATGTGGAAGGGTTCAGTACTGGGCCATGGCGAGGCTTTGTTGATAGGGGTGAGAGGAGGGTAAGAGCAAATTCCTGGGTGCTGCTGGGGCGTGTGTTCACAGTTCCTCATTTCCTCCTGTTTTCACAGGTTGCATGCATTTACTCATCCTTTATAGAGTGTTAATCTCCTGTTGCCCGTTTTCCAAGGGTTCGTAATTGGAATCTGTTTGTAACGCACCGCTCTTAAGCTCTGATAGCCTTGACCAGAGAAGGGATTTATAAAGAAGTGCTTGATTAAAAAAGTACAGTGTCAGATAGATGATAAACAGGTGGTAACTGGAGGGACGTCTGGTTACCAACATGAATAGAAGTGTTCCAGGATTCCAGTAAAATCCCCATTACAGGGCTAGTGCACCAGGACATGGGTAAAGATCCTTGACTTTTCTTTATATCACAGTCATAAGCATATTACAGAATCAATGGGATTGTCTTTTTTCGTGAGGAAACAAGTGAGGATGGGATTTAGCAGTTACTTCATTGAAATGAAAGGATGCACCCTGGTTATTTTACCAGACTCCCTGTATCCACACATACCTCTCTTGACTGCTTTTGCCCCTCATTGATTTTAGTTGCGGGGCTGGAGATAAATCTGTGCATCTCTATGATGCCTAAAAACTGTACTACTGACCTATCATAGGAATCAAACCCTTCTTGTTGTCCAAGATACTTACTCTATAGCTTACTACTTCTCCTTAAAACAGCCAGAATTTTCTGTCCCTGCCCCTGTTTGCTATTACCATGTAGGTTCCTCAGTGAAAGCAGAGCCAGCAGTATGTCTGTGTGTCCTTCCTCCTGCCCGAGTCATCCTGGGTGGTGCTCAGCCCCTCTGTATGTCCCCATGGCTACAGCTGAGCCTCTTTGTTCAGCCTTGGGTAATTCTCCCCTTTCCAGACCTCCTCCATGCAATAAATTAAGTCAATCTGGCTTCCCCACTCAGCCCCTCGCTGGTGTAGGGACTGGTTTAGTGCTCCTCACTCTCGGCTCCCAGTACAGGGGATGAAGGTCTTCTCTAGCATGGGAGATCTGCATGCTCACACCAGGGATACATCACATTTCCTAGGGTTATGCAGAAAACCTAAGCAGAAATTATAAGCTGTATGGGCTTTTATAATGTAAGTTGTATGGACCAGTTTGTCTCTAAGAAAGGAACGTCAGGCATCCCAGATGTGTCACTTCCAAACTGCTTATACATCCTAAAGTCATCCTTTTTTATATGCAGCACGTTATGTCAAAGGAATTGCTAATAATAACAGCTCTTCAGCTTTTATCCCTTAGGTTTCCACTCAGTTCTAGTTCTAATCTCCAGCCTAAAATCTCTGCCTAGATTCCCTACGCCAACCTGGCTGGATGTTTCAGGTGCTGCTGAAATCACCCAGTTATTTGTTCCACGGAATCAGGGCATGTTTCTGGGACTACTGTAAAGAGCAAAACAGGGAAACACTGTGGGCATGCAAAGGAAGAAAAATCCTGGAAAAAATTATGGCAATGAGCAAATCTTCTGGTACCCATTAAAAGGGAATAATTCTACCCAAAGGAAGGGGGATTTTCCCGTTGTGAGATGAAATAAACATTCAGAAATGATTTGTGTGTGTGTTTAGATTTAAATTTAGACTTTTATGAAGTAGGTTGTTCAAAGGCCCTTTCCTTCCCAGGGTAGTTTGGTTACAATCTTCTCCTAAGAAAGAAAAATCTCTGCATAGACCACAGCCTCTGAAGCTTGCTTTGCTCGGCCCTCAGCGTGCAAATCACACCACGCTGTGGGATTTGGCAGCAGATCTTTCACTCTTTTAATTACTGCTGTGGTCCTGGTAGATGCACAGCATCTCAGAGCTGAGATCTGAGTGGTTCTGTGCTGCAAATAAATATGGATACGTTTAGATAAATGGATAGAGGGTAGATTTAGATTAGCTATAAGGCAGCTCTTCCCTGTGAGGGTGCTGAGGCGCTGGCACAGGGTGCCCAGAGAAGCTGTGGCTGCCCCATCCCTGGCAGTGCTCAAGGGCAGGTTGGACACAGGGGCTTGGAGCAAGCTGCTCCAGTGGAAGGTGGCTGGATGAGCTTTAAGGTTGATTTAGGTCTTTTAGGAGGTCACGTTTCAGACAAAGCTATCTCTATGGCAGCACCTAGGTTGGATGCAGGTTTTTGAAATAGCCACAGCATTTCTTGTGCAAGTATATTTAAGGAGGTATTGCAAAGGAGTTATTTATGAGAGGCAAGCTATCACCTAGACACAACCTTTTATGTTGCTGGCTTCTTGACTAAAATAGGTACTTTTGTGCATCTTGAAATACTTCCCCAAACAGAGAGGAATTTACACTGAAGCCATGTGTACACCATGCTTGGAGGTAACAAGGCTGCAGTCCATGCAATTAAAAAGACGGTGCCATTTGGTGAAGTGTTGGCTTTTGCTGAGCACAATAAAGACCCTGTGCTGTTGTTAGAGTCTCAAAAGTAACTGTTAATATTATCCTGGCCCCAATCCAACAGTAAAAATCAACTCAGGTCTGTGTCATTAACTCAATATTATGTCACCTGAGTAATTGCTGGGATCTCAGTTTTTCCCTATTCTACACAAATCTCTGAGTTTTAATATTCAGGTACATTAGACTGTAATTTCCTATTGATTTTTAAGCTGGGAAGATGAAGAGGTGTAATTTTAAGAAGCGTTATCAGTTATTTGATTAAATCAATTGCCTCCTTTCACATACAGTAGTCACATAATAGCCTTAATTTGACAGTAGCACAAAGACCTTATCTGTATTTTTGAACTGTGGTTGCCTACACGGCGTGTCCTCATCCTTCCCCTCTCAGAAGTATCTGGTGGGTGTTTTGATGGAGAGGTCAGCTCTGGTTTAGGCTGTGAGGATTAAACATCTACTCTCTGCAGAGGAATTAAGTGGTAAAATGAAAGCCAGACACTGAATCAGCTCCTCTTCATTTGCTGTCTTGGAAGGAATAACATCTTTCCATAAAATCTGTGTAGCCAGCTGGTTCTACCTCCAGTCATGCCGGTTTTACTGGCAGACCTGATTTATTGGGTAGCTTGGTGCCCAGAGCAAAGTGCTCTCCTGACCTGGGAGGATGCTGCTCCGCAGCCTTGGGCATGTCTTCAGGAAAAGGGTCAAATTCCCAGCTGGAGGCTCTTGCTAGCAGAGCTCACGCCTGTGTAGCTCTTCCACTTCTCTCTCCATCTCTCCATGAAGGATTTCTTAAGGCATTTGTTAATGTCAAATGTCCTGAATGTCAGGATTACCGTAACGTGCTCAGAAGCCTGATGGGGTAACACTTGTCCTGTCCCTAATTGGCTCATTTCATTGTTTGACTGAAAAATCACAGAGTACTTTCTGCCTTTTGCTAAGAGGTTTAAGTGTTTTTCTGCAAAAGAAATCACGTAGAAGGGTTTTTCTTATATCTATTAAAAACTGAGTTACTCTAATAAAAGTAATACAAGCTATAAGGCCTATATACAAACTATAGGACCTATAAGGATGCTGAGGACTGACTATTCATTAGGGACTGTAGTGATAGGACAAGGGGTAACGGGTTAAACCTAAACAGGGGAAGTTTAGATTGGATATAAGGAGGAAATTCTTTCCTGTTAGGGTGGTGAGGCACTGGAATGGGTTGCCCAGGGAGGTTGTGAATGCTCCATCCCTGGCAGTGTTCAAGGCCAGGTTGGAGAGAGCCTTGGGTGAGATGGTTTAGTGTGAGGTGTCCCTGCCCATAGCAGGGGGGTCGGAACTGGATGATCTTAAGGTCCTTTCCAACCCTAACTATTCTGTGATTCTATTCTACGATTCTATCTGTTGTTGGAAACAGCTCAGTGCTGCATAACCCACTTTGAGCATTTTTCATCTGTGTGTTTCAAAAACGCTTTGAAAAATAAGACAGATTATCACAATCCCTATTTTATATGTAGGGGAAGACCATGAAGTGAGTTGTTCTTAGGGCACTGATAGCACAGGGAATGTATCCTAAACACCATGATCTCTCTTCTAAAATTCTATTGCCAATGCTCCTGTCTGTCCAGTATTAAAATGTACCACGGGTGGCCTCTCCCACTGAATGACAGACACAGTATCTTAATCATGCGTGAGCCTTCATATCTTTGCTTAACTCTGTTAATAATGCAGTTTCTCTCTATTTCCTCCATTGATTCCTTGTGCTGTCAGGGAAGGGTCTGAGTTACCTTTGCTTATAAACCCCTCTGCCACGTGGGCACACGCAGAGTTCACTTGTATGAGATTCCCCTGGGAATTTCAGCTGGGGGTGCTGGCAGTGGAACTGTGGGCCCAGCCCTCTGCAGGCAACTATCCCGTGTCATCTGAACTGCAGCACAACCTCAGAGATGAAAACCTGGCCCCACTGATGAGGATCCAGATGGATAAATTCAAGTTGGGGGCCCAGTTTTGACCTATGTCTGATTTAAATGCAAAGTATCGCAAATCGTTTAAAGCCATTCCTGAGTGTGTTTAAGCTTACCCATGCGAGCACTCTCATTGAAGTCAATTATGAACAATGGTGTTTCTTTCTTCTTTATTCACTGCTGATTTCTGGTACAGGGTGTAAATGACTCTTTTATTGCCTTTGACATCGAAGTCCCTTAGCCAGCCACTAAAGAGGCATCATACTAATTGATAAATGCTGCTTGCTTAGGGAGGGGGGCTTTTAACTTTATAATCCTATTAAAAATGATAGATATGTCAAATACTTGAGCCTACTGGACAGAAGGTATTATTCTGCTCTAAGGTTTCCAGTTTAATTCTTTTTGTGAGCAATTGGGCAGAACCACTGGTGGAAGACAAGCAGATGCTCTTCAGCTGTACTTTTCCATAAATGATTTTGTCCTCTTTCTGTGTTCCCCTACCAGGCATATCAAGTTCAAAAGAAAACGTTGCCTCTCGCTAATGAGAAGATTAATTGCATTCACATATGCAGCAGACTTTGCCAATCCTGTTGAAAGTTTGATGACCTTTAAGAGACAAAGTTTTAGTGTGCCCAGGATAAATAATTCATCCTTCACTGATCTGCCCTCTGTATCCATCTGCTTAATGCTGAGGCATGTTGATTAAAGCGACTGAGTGCAATTATCTTCATACTTCATCGAGATAATAATATCTGTTTTCCTATTGTACTTCAACGCACAATTGCTCTTTTAAAGATATCAACAGCCCAATAGATGCAGGGTCCATTTTCACTCTGACTTATTCCCAGCTCTCCATAGCACTCTTCAAAACCTCACTAAAAGCTCTGAGTTTCTCTTTTCCATATGAGTTCCTTTTCCAGCACCGAAAGCTGAAATGTGTAACTAATCCTCTTGGAAAATCTCTGAAACCATCATCTTCAAACACCACCAGAAAGTTCATCTCTGTTCGCATGCACAGGCAGAAAAATGTCATCTCGGCAAGTGGCAGGATGTGATTTGCTTTGATTACGGCAATTATTGATTCTGCAGGGCTCCTTCCATCTAGGAAGGCTGCAGGCAGCCAATTGCCAAGAAAACTCATTGTCCCCTTCCTCTCCCCCTTGCAATGCCCATTTTGCTGATTTCTCACCCACCTGTTGCCCTTTTGGGTTTCAGCCCAGCTTTTCCAAATAATGATGTGTGCACATAACATCAGCTGGGAGTGCAGCCAAAGGCACTACTCATTGGGTGGAACGTGCAAGGGTGGATGTTGGTCCCTGTCCCAAAGAGCATGATGCAGACATTGCGGCTCCCCTCTGGCTATCAGCTTCAGGGGACATGTTGGAGGCCTCCTGCAGTGACCACATGCAGGTAAATAAGCTGATTATGGAATAGCCAAGCAGATGGTCTCTTTTGTTGCTACCTGTGAACGTAAGTACAATCCTCCTATTTCCCTGGGAGGAAGGAAACATCTCAGCGGACATCACACAGTTCTTAGTTTATTTAGAATGAATGAATATTGCAGCCATTTAAATGAATCTTTCCTGGCCCTACATGGAATTAGACTGAACTGGCACCATGTCACCCTGTTACTGGAGAGAACAAATATTCCCTCTGGCAAAAATCCTGCTTCAGGCTTGACAAAAAAATGTTTGGCTTTTTTTTTATTTCTTTTCATGTAGAAATCAAAATTGGTCTTAAATGCTCTTTGGATTTAAAGTTGCTTGTTAGAGAGGAAACAATGAAAATGAAAGAGGAAATAATAAGGGATAGCTGGGTTTTTTAAAGGTGATTTACCGACGAAAGGAAATCCTAGAGATTAGGAAGTTGTTTAAATACCAGTGACAGTCCCATATGGAAACAATCCAAAATCGGAGATTAGAGGGGAAAAAAAGAAAGATATGAATTGCAAAGAACAAAGCCATGAAGGAAGGGAAGGTAAATTCAAAAGGGGAAAAGGCAAAGCAAAGCAAAAAAGCCTCTTAAACCCAGAAACAAGACACCTGCTTTTCTGGCAGTTACCAGCAGCAAGGAAGACTCCACCTGCCAAATCCCATTTTTAACATCAGTAAATCATCGTGTGGGTAAAAGAACAGGATGATGGAAAGGAAACAATTCTCACTAATTAGCATATCAGATGCCAGCTCTCCCACACTCCATGCTCACAAGAGCTCCAGGTTCACTTCAACGTGGTGGGAATAACCCTTCTTCCCGTCCGAATGGTGCACATGCCTTTGCCTGGAGGTTGGCTCCCAAGGGGAGGGAATGGGATGCAGTTGCCCATGAACCAATGTGGCTCTCTAGGATCCATCATCCCCAGCCAAAAGAACTGGTTCCGAACACTGCATCCTGACAGGATAGCAAAAGCTGGATGAGAAAAAGCATCTTGAGATGCTGAAGCCAGCCCCTTCTTGGCAATGGAAGGGGAATTCTAAATATTGGAGGAGGATTAATCGAATCTGTTGTAAAAAAGGGAAGAGCAGCTTGGCTGTGTGAAGGTTGTGCCTATTAGATTGTCATGCTCATGCTCCAAAATACTCAACAGCTCATCCCAGAGTGCACATGAAACAGAAAACCAGCAGCATATGAATGGAGTTATGGGATGGGGGAATATGTTGCAATATAAATCACCTAAATTGAAAGCTGGATTTTGAGCCTCTGGACCATCTTAAAGTCTGTGACGTATGTGGAGAGTCAGTCTCATGGCTTTTGTTAAATTTAATGGGTGTGTTACAGCTGAAATGTCTTACATTGCCTTGGAAATGTATGTCACGGTGTCAAGGTTGCTCTTTGGGAAACTATTGATGGACAGGGATTTTGTTTTTAACTTTATAAAAGTACTGTCATCAACGCTTTTTTGCCTATGATGTTTGCTTGGCATAATGTGGACTAACTGGGGGTATATTGATGTGGAGAAAGAGGCAGTGGCAGATTTCAGGAGGGAGGGTAGGAGACCACTTAGTTTTGCAATATTTGAGTATCTGGATATATATATAAAACCTCCCCTACATATAGTTATAGTAAAGACCATATGAACATTACAGCTCAGTCAATACGTGTTAAATAGGGTTTCTTTAACAGATGGGAAACCATAAACAGTCTCCTATGATATATAAACAAATTAAGGAGAATTTCCAGCTCTGACATTTTAATAGGGTATGATAAATAGTTTGGCATCATGACAATATCTCTGTCAAGATAGGGACCCTTGGGATGTAATTACTCTTTGAAATAGTTATTTAGTAGCTTTCCTATCTGAGGCCATATTATATGTTTTATGGAGGACAGTGGAAGGTCTTGTTAGGGAAGTTTATCCGACTTGGTTCTTGGAGCTTTATCCTGTCACTGAGATCATTACCATGATACCTTTCATGTGATTCAACTCTGTTCCACTATCTTTCATGCACAACTAATGTCTGACTCATATCCCACAAATAACGTTGGTACAACAAGCTTAGTTGTGTGTTGAAGGAAAGACCTATCAGCCTCTTTTATTATGGGTAGGTTGGTTTCTGGAATAACAATCTAACAAAGGAAAGTGTAACTACCAGGAAAAAAAAAAGCCAGTTGTAATTGCCTACTATTCACCTATAATTTATTAAATCAGTGTCAAGACTAAAGCCTTGAAAATGAGGCTTCACATATGTACATGATTACTCCTCTGCCTGTTTGCACTCTGCAACTGAAATAAGCAGTGATTCATCGGGAATGAAGTTTGAATTAATTAGAGAATCCCCCGTCTGCAATGGACACCCTGTTTTCTCTAGGCATTCAATGGGTTTGGAAAGGTAACTGATGTTTGTCCATCCAATGGTGTAGCAGACCCATAACCAAGTTTTTCCACTTTCTCCAGAAATGAACACTGTGTTGTGACACCAGAGTGTTGTAATATGGAGAAGCCCCAGGAATGTGGATGGGATGTTTTTCATAATGCAGTTTCCATCCTGCCATTCTTTGGTTATTAATTGCAATTCCCAGTGTAAACAGAGATATATCTGGACTCGGTTTGGCATGGCTTGGCTGCTTACATCTTGCGTCTCTGGAATTAAACAAACCCCAAGCAAGCTCAATGGGGCTGCAGGAGCAGAATGTGATGTTCAGTGTCCTAGCAGAAAGCCCCTATATCTGTCTATAGGGATGCTCAGTGCCACAGTTAAGCACAGGAAGCTCAGTGGCCTTAATCAAGCATGATCAGAGCTCAGAGCTTACACATATTCTGGCTCTATCAGGTAACATCAATTAGATTCAGCCCTTTCTGGGAAAAGGAAAGCAGAACATGAGAAACAGTTTTGCAGCTCAGCCTTTAGGTACCATTCTCCTGCACACCCATAATAATCCTTGAAGCTGCTGCCTCCGTTATAATTTAGCAATTAGAAGAAAATATTGGTATTTAATTAAACTTGTCAATCAACCAGAAATGAATTTTCCTTATCAAGAGGAGCTGGATTTGGTTTTGCCACTTGGAAGGAGAGGTTGAAGACTCTTGTAGAATGAAGCTTTAATTAAGAAAGGAGATTTGGATTAACATGGGAAGCAGAGAATGAAAGGTCCTCAAAAATTATCTGAGTATGATTCACAGGAGGAGAGGAACCTAAATATGGGAACAGATTTTTTTCCCTTTTTTTTTCCTTAAACTAAAAGAAAAGCTATATGGTGCTAAAACACCCAGGTAGAAGAGGCACAGGAGGGATTTTTAAGAGCCTAGGATGTCTCTGTTCAATTCATTTTCCTACTCTTGATATTTAGGCATTTCAGATATTCAAAGTCTGGTCAGAAAGTGCCTACACTGTGGGGCTTAGCAAATCCTAAGGATTTGGATGCTTGACTCTCATAAATTTAGATAGCAGAGGAACAAATGGCTCTTCTGAAAGCTTTAAAATAATCCACTTTTTGTTACTTTCTGGCTGTGCTGATGACACAGTTGGATGGACACCTCCGACTCCTGCCTAAGCCCACAGATCCCTTGCACTGCTCCAGCATATCCATGCCAGGAACTGCCCCAGGTACCCAGGACTGTCCCCTCGTAAATCCCAATGTACTAAATTCAATGCTCAGCCCTCTGTTTTGTCCGCCCCAACCCCCCCGACGACTTCTTCCAAAGCAACATTGATTTTTGTGGCATCAGCTCCTGATCCCTGGATGTGTTCTGCATCCTGACTCAGGTATGTCTCCAAAGGTTGGTGTCTTGGGGATTTGTAGTAAAATCATCTTCCTTTTCATCTTATTTGGATACAGGACAAAAGCAAATCTCTTTTCCTGAACGCTGCTGAACCATTCAGCTGAAACCGAAACACATCACCAGGGCTCAGGCATGCAGCACAGAAAACCTGAAGTCTGGGAATCTTACAGATAACCAGCAGAGATGGCAGCCATGGAGGTCAGACCATGGCAGTTTCCTCCTGACATCTATTGACCTTGGATCAGGCCCTCAGAAAGCAAGTTTGGGATGAGAGGAATTCATGATTTCTCCACTGAAAAAAGTCCCAAAATCTGAACTCCTTGTAAGAACAGTGGGTTGGGTGGACTCCATTTTACAGGAATCTGCTGGGAAGAATAAGTCAATTTTAATCCTTAATGAAGTTTGAGAATGGTTTGTTTTGTGCAGCTATAACTTCCTGGCATGCAAAAAATACCATTGAAGCATTTCTGATCTCTTCCCTTAACAATAAGAAAGCCTTTCCTGTTTGTTTGGTTAATATAAGTTGCCAAAGTCAAGTTAAATAACTCTCCACCCTAAACCCCACCTGTAGTTGCTTGAGTACTTTGATATT